AGCACATCCACCCGACAGCCCCTGGCTAGAGCCCAGAGGGGGCCTGAGAACTCCGGAGAGGAGTTGTGGTTAGAGGGCATGTGGACGGATGTCGGAGCTGGGAAGGTCTGGGAGGGCCCAGGCGGCCCAGTCAGAATGAAGACACTCAAGTGAGGAAATTGGACTTCCCTCGGCCATCACAGGATGGCATTATTGTTCTCCACAGGCTTGAAAAGGAACATAAAGGAAAGAGTGACTTTTTCTAGGTTGTTGATCTGACATTCAGACTATGACATTTCTTGGACTGAATCCTGACAAAATGTGTCCCCAGTGTCGTTAGTGCTAAATAAAACCTTTTGTCTTTCTTTTCCTTAGCTCTCAAGACTTCTAAGACCTATTAGAGGAGCACATATTTTTAAGAATGTCTATTTAAATCTCTAACCATGTTGGCTCTCTCTAGTGAGACCGACAGGTAAATTTGAGAAGGGGGCAGATTCACTACAGCTTGAGCCCAGCTTATTCTACGAAGGCGCATTCACATTCAGTCAGGTTGAGTGAAGAGTGTTTCCAAAACTCTTTGATAATTACTTATTTCGCCCTTTTAAAATGGATCTTAAAAACAACTCATTGCAGGAAAAAGGAAGCTCTTTACCTTGTGCTTTCACAATGTGTGTAGCCAGTTTTCGAGAACATGCTCTTCTTTTTCCTGCTATTTATGGTTTATCCTCTGGACTGAACCTTTTAAGTGTCGGTGAAAAGTTCTGAGCAAAGAACCCAAGAAATACTACCTCTGTGCTCACTTGTTCCTTTGAGGAGAGGGGAGCTGGGGCGTGTGTGTGTGTGTGTGTCGTCCACAGTGTTCAGCTTAGAAGTGTCCAGTGGCCCCCGCTCCAGCAATGTGAAGTCGGCATCCAGAGTGTGGCAGGGCCTTCACAAGCCAGCACGGGCAGGGGCCACGGCTGGACCTCCACGCGGTTAGCTGCAAGCTCTCGGGCTGCAGGGCAGCTCAGCCACAGCCTTGTGCTTATCTCGGTTTTAAGCAGTTGGGAGGCTTCGACTTTAAAACCATCTCTTGTCAACCCACAGGACAGCTCAGGACCTTTCGACGTTTACCCTCTCCTCGAGACTGCCACCAGCTCATTTGATTTGTCACAACTCTGTGAAGGAGACAGGATGGTTAAATTCAAAATCTCAGAGTAAACTTTATGTTTTAAGAGCCCAGATGAGGATATGAGCCTTGTCCCAAGTCACCCAGCTCCCAAGGCCTGGACTTTCAGCTCTTAAATGCTAGGATTGTGTGTCACTCAGCTCGATTTTTAGTCCTGGGCTCATGACATGGTAGGCTTTCGGTAAATACTTGCTGAATGACTGAATTAGTGGAAAAAGATGGGGCTAAAACTCAATTATCTGCTTGCCTTTCAAGTGCTTTTTCTAGTTTGTTCAAGGATTAAATGAGTGACTAAATATAAAGTGTTTGAACTTGCCTGCCACATAATAGGTGATCAGTTCTGTTAGCTGCTGTTATATACTATATAGTGGATGGTCTTGCCACTCTGGGTATCATCCTTTGTTGAGAGTCTGTTGACTACATTTACTACCAGAGTGAGAGATGGGTTGTTGTTTTGACATAAACTTGAGCCACAATGAAAACAAGGCATTTTCAGCTCTGTTTGATCAGGTGCTGGGAAGGATAGTCATGGGGATGCCGGGGGTGCTTTTCCTACTGGCCTTTTCCTAGATCTGCCCATGCACGATCAAAGGGCAGGCTCGGACTCATTACTCTCTCTCACTGAACAGTGATCAGAATTTCCCCAAAATCATAAGGGCAGGAAAACTTAGCGCTAGCCATTGAGCAACTCTAGCCTAAGCGTCTTTAATTAAGTTGGAAGGAGTTCTTATACAAGCCGTCGGTTTTCTGGTTCTCCTTCCCATTCCACCCTCAGAGAGGCAGAGAGCAGCCTGGTGCAGATTGTCTGACACCCTTTCCTAAGGCCTTCATAGGAAACCCCCAAATACGTCACTGGATGGAGAAAAGGTTGCACATCTTTTAGTCATTTCTACCTTTAACAACAAGTGCATCGTATTGGCGACATTACCCCTTAGAAATGTAGGATGTTGTTATTCTAACTGAAAGAGGCAATGTGGGGGCTCTGACCTTTTCGGGCCACCACTCTATCCCCTCTCCTCCCCGCCCCCAGCCCCTCACTTCTCTCTGGGTCAGTGGGAGAAGTTTTCTCAAGATTGAGGCCATTCTAAGAACTAGGATTTTCATCCTTGTTATTAGAGGGTAAATTTCTTGTTCAGACCCAGCCCCTCATTTTTGATGATGACATCTCTGTGGCTTGGTTGTTTTTTAAGGACCAGTAGTGAGCCGGGTTCTGTGCCATGCGGTGAGAGAACAGCGCTGTCCCTGAAGGGCCCCGTGCAGCCTAGGAGAGTTGAACCGAAGGACAAAGGACTAGGGTGGCCACAGCTCTGTCACTTTTTCAAACTGACTTTCCCACCCAGTCAGACCTACACTTTAACCCCAACTCCACCCCACAGGCTGTGGGACCTAGAACCGGCGTGGCCTCTCCAGGCCCTGCTTCACCTTCCATTAGCGGGGTTGGCCGTATCAGCCTCAGCCGGACCTTGGGGTGACTGGCCACAGCGTGGTGCCCAGGCGTGCTCAGCTGCCGGGAGCTACCAGCCGCACCTTTGGTACAAATGCAGGTTTCTCGTGGGAAAGCATATCATTGTGCTGCAGCCTGTAAGACAGCACACCTGAGTCCATGACAGAGATTTACTGCCACCTCCAAGAACTCTGTTCCCTCAGCCCTGAGAAGCCCAGGCCAGGCCGGAAGCAGCCCGGAGTGGGGGGGGGGCACCTGAATCCCAGGCACGGCAGGACGTGCTGGCAGCCGCCGTCTCCCTGAGCTGGCCAAACCGTGTCCCCCAGAAGGCCCGGGACAGCCCGCCGGGAGGAGTCGCCCTCTGAATGGCAGGCACTGCTACTGCCGTCCGCACCCTCGGACATTTGCAGCCTACAACCAAGGACAACAAACGCTCGTGGTCCGAAAAGGCGGAGGTTTTCATTAAGCCAGAGGCCTTCTGCATGGGCCTCTGAAGTGTGGGGTACATAGAGTGTGAGGGAGGATGTGGGAGGATGTGGGAGTAGGTAATGCAGGAGTTCGGGCCACTTATAAATCCCATTTGTGTATATTCTGTGTTTACGTAATGCCTTTGGAGCCACGGAATAGAGTTGGTTTTCATTAAAGCTGTAACAGAGGGGACTGCATCCTTGACCAGAGTAACTCTCTTTCAGGAATTCCTATACACATTTTCAGGATTTAACTCAAAACTCACCTTGTCAGGAGCATCTCCTGCTTACTCTGCCTTTCTCTCATCTGTCTGGAACTCTGTGGATCCAGCACTTAGGTGTCGAGTCTCAATTATTGTAAAATGCTGTTTTAAAATTCCTACAAGGGGCACCTGGGTGGCTAAGTCGGTTAAGCGGTCAACTCTTGATTTTGGCTCAGGTGATGATTTCGGGGTCCTGGGATTGAGCCCGTGTCGGGCTCCACGATCAGTGGGGAGCCTGCTTGAGGAATTGCTCTCTCCCTCTGCCCCTCCCCCCACTCACACATTCTCTGTCTCTCTATAAAATAAATAAATCTTTAAAAATAAAAATAAAATTCCTACAACTTTGTGTAGATGGGTGGATGAGTGGGTGGCTTTCCTGCCCACCCCCCTCTTTCCTCTTCGTTTAGGCCTGCTGGCCTCTCTCCTGGTCCAGGCCTGTCCCCACCCCTGCTATGTGCCCTCTGTTCTCCACACTGTGACTGGAGGGGTCACTGCGCAGAGCCATTCTCACCAAGCCCCCTTCTCAGACCCTTCAAAGGCTTCCAGGACCTTAGCGCGGAGGCCAGGGCTCCTCATGCGGCTCCTGTGTCCCTCCTTGCTCCTGGGGCTGGGCCCTGCTTGCCGGTGCTTCCCCCTGCCCGCCTTGCACCTCCAGCACCTCCTCTGCCCTCCAGCCTGCTGTGCCCCTGCCTCACACCGGCCTTGCATCCACCTGGCCCGGCAGGAGCGGCACCCTTCCCTCTTCACCTGGCTGCCCATCCCCCCCCCACACACACACACCCCTCCACCGCCTCCCTCAGGGCCCTGGAGCCTCCGGTCTTTCTCACTAATCTGTTCCCATTGTTCTGTTGCTGCTGCTGCCCCCCCACCCCGGCCCCGGCACCCCTTCTTTGAGGGCAGGCCCGCCTGTGGCCATGGCCCCCTGCAGCGCTAGGCCGTCCAGTGAACAGAAGACTGTGAACGAGACAATATACATAAAGCAGTGGCTGTTGCCTGGCACAGCGTTGGTCCTCGGTACATGGTTGGTTGTTTCATTCGTCCACATAGTCATCAGATTATTTCAGTGCTTGCTTATCAGCCGGGCCCGCAGAGTGCAGGCCCGGTCGCCTGGCTACGTTCACAGAGCCAGACTGCAGCTTTAACGGAGCCCCGGCGACGAGTCACCCTGGCCTCCCTCCACAAGGCCACAGCCATCGCCACGGCCCCGAGGAGGCGGCCCCGGCACCCGCCCGGCCTTCCATGAGGGACTCCTGCCTGCCCCCGTGGGTCCAGGCTGAGGAGTTGTGAGGGAAAGCTCTCATCTCCGAGGAGACTCAGCCCTGAAAACAAAGTCTCAGGAAGAGCCAGCCCTCGGCTGGGCCAGTAGGTAGTCTTTCCGCAAGCCCTCCGTCTGTCACCTATGCAGGGCCCGTTTCCACTCTGACACTTGTCCTCCTGCCTCCCCCTGTTCGGGTCCCTGCTCCACTCAGCAGACCGACATCAGCAGACAGCTACTGACGGGCTTACTCGTCTTTCCTCCACATACTTCACGTTTTCTCAGGAGTCATTTGCAAACTGGCCGGTAAAGCCCCAGACCTCTCAGGCCCGGTGACCAGTGAGGGAGGTGGGCTCCCTGCACACCTCAGCACTGCTTTTGCATGGAACTGCGAGATTATAAAATCGTCTTGTTTTTGTTGCAGAAATTTCCAGAATTGAAATTCAAATATGTGGAAGAGGAGCAGCCCGAGGAGTTTTTTATCCCCTATGTGTGGTCTCTGGTCTACAACTCAGCAGTAGGCCTCTACTGGAACCCACAGGACATCCAGCTCTTCACGATGGATTCCGACTGAGGGCAGGACACCGTCTCCCACCCTCATCTCCCTCCCGCCGAGCAGCCCTTCAAGTTACTTTCTTCCGGGGGAACAGAAGTAGACAGATTGCCTGATGTATCTTCTAGCAAAGAGGATCACACAGGCGTGCTTCCCTTACACGCTTGGATTTGGAGAATTGGTGCCAGTTGGCAGTAGATCACTCAGCTTAGATTGTAGTGCAAAAAGGGGGGGCGGGGGGCACACGACAATAATAAATGTAAAAACCTGCTATTCCACATGCAGTTTTATTTCTAAACCAAAAATCTAGAGCTTTTCCAGGAACCCGATGCCTTAGGCATATAACACTTTACCAGTACATACTATTTTTTTTCTTTGCATGTTCAAGATTTTTGTTTTGGTCCTGTGTATGTGTGTGTGTGTGTGTGTGTGTTTTCAACATAGAGAAATATCTGAAAAGATGATGAGACAGGAATTAGTAAGGAAATGAAGTCATATGTATGAGGGGTTGCCTTCCAGAGGGCCCATGATTTAATAAACACTATGCCCGGGCCGTTGGATATAAGCCTTTAGATCAGATCCTCTGCATCTTTCAAAGAAAGAAGTGGCTCCTTCTCATGAAGCTCAGATTAGCTTTTCTGTGGGTTTGGCCTCTGAGCTGTAGCTGAATTAAATTGGAGTCTAGCACAAATTAAGTTAATCTACTCTGTATTAATCATTGGTAAAAGAAAAGCTTCATTTTGAAAGCAATCTTTTTTCTTCAACCAGACTAATAGGAGAAAAGGAGACCAATTTGATTAATACAGTATTCCACATGAGATGAAAAACATGTTTTTCTCTTCATTTCTGACTTTATTTAAACTCTTTTGGACCCTGAGCTAGAGGAAGAAGCTTCTCTGAGGGAAACCTTCGCCGGGCTGCCCTGAGCAGAGCATGCCTTCCAGAGCCGCGGGTACTGAAGGCAGAGTGGGCTGGTCCTTTGGAGGCCAGGTCTGAGTCCACGACCACCCTCTCACAGCCTGGATGAGGAGCCTCGTTTCATTCTCAAAGACACAAAAAGTATTTGCTTTTCTGCGTAGAAAGCACGTAATCTCAAATGAGACTGAGCACCCCGTGTCAGTCAGCTGTTGCCTAATCTCTATCGGGAACTAGTTCTCTCCTCTCCCTGTGTCCCTGGGCTGGAGGCCGGAGTCATTTTGGTCCATCACAATCTCAGAGGGTCTGGGAGGAGCTATGTCCAGTCACAGCAAGCTCTGGAAAGGTCAAAAACACGCCAGCACGTCAGTGCACATCTGTGTGGCTTCCGCCCGTGAAAAGCCTGGGCTGCTTCATCTCTTCAGTGGGCTTTTGAGGCTAGCCAGACAATTTCCTCGTCCTCACCAGGATACTCCCCGGGGCAGGTTGGCTGGCTGATGGACAAAGGGCCATTGCTGGCGGCTGGACCTAGGAGGCAAGGGCAGGTTGCCTGCGGCCTCCTCGGGCCTTGCTCTGTTCAGGCCTCTTCCTGTCTCCACAAATGGCTGGGGACTCTCCTGTATCTCACTTAAGATCACACAGACAGGGCCTCAGACTGGCAGATGAGACGTGTTAACAGCTCCTGCTTAGTCGAGCCCAGGGGGAGAGGCGGTTTGAAGGTGGATGGGTCAATCCTCACAGTCTGAATGATGATCATTTTAGGTGGCAATTATTTTATGTTCCCCACATGGGGAAATGATAGACAGCTTGAATTTGCTTCCAAAGCATTTTGACTTGCTTCCTTTCCTTTAAACCAAAACACACAATGTTAAAAGGGTCGCGTGCAGCACCTGAACCTCTGTTCGGACCGTGGATCTGTCCTTGGAGGCTGAGGACTGGGCAGTGCCATGGGATAATCACTAGGCTGCAGGCCTATCAGTTCTCGGGGCAGGAGGAAATAGGGTCCCCCAAAAGTCAGTCAGAGAGGGCCAACAACCAAGGAGCCCTTGACTGAGGGGAATCCCACAGTTCCCTCTCCAGGCCACCTGGCTCACCAAGGTGCCTCCAAAGCCCCATTCTCCAGCATGCTCCTCTCCCCCACCCGCTTTTAATGAACCAAACAGTGGAAGTGCTTACTGGCCTAAAAGCTTAAGCCAGGGCTACCGCCTCAGGCAGCACGTGGGCCCACGCTCCCAGACACCACTGCGTCACTGCCTCAGCTCTGGAGACCCACCAGGAGTCTTCTGATTTTTGTGAAAGATCTATTACATGACAATAAATTTAACTGATAAACTTGAATTACGCTTGCATTAATTTGCTTAGAAATTGTTTTCCACAAAGTAAAAATGTGTAGAATGAGGCAGTACAGGGCCATCTTGTGTTTGGATGGAAGTTAACATCTGATTCTTACCCAAGATACAAAACTGTTACTGCACTGTATCATCAACAAATGGCTCTGCCACAATTATTTGTTTTTGAAAGCATGGGCCCCTTTCAGTTTCACCTTTCCTATCAAGAGTTCAAGGCACTGTGCAAAAAGCTTCAAAATGGTAACTCTGGTTCCCACGGTCCCCCCCGTTGAGGCTGGTGCCATAGATCTATGAACAAGAGCCCTGGCATCACAGGGTGGTCATCATTCAACGGTGCAGACAGAAGCAGGGCTGTGGAGGAGCTCAAGGACAGAGACCGAGAAAGGAAAGACAGAAGGTCCCTGAGGTGAAGCATAGAAAGTACACCACTCCAGAAGGAAATCACAGGAGCTGGAAACATGCAAGATGGGGAGAGGGAAGAACATAGGACCAGCATCAATCAGAACACTTAGCAACTTCCTCAAGCTTACTAAGGTAAAGAGAAATGTTCAGTGTGGTGTTGGGGGGGGGATGCTTCTAGGGCTAGGATCTCTTAATATTCTTTAGGCAACATACTGTCCTTTAGCTCCTGGGGAGCCAGTGTTTTGCCTTAGGCATTAAATCTTTCTGCATAACTGAGTCATTCTGCGCTCATTTCCAGAGCCATAAATTAGAGTTGTGGTATTTGCTGATACTTTATAGGCTTGAGTTTGCAAGGTCAACCCTTTGGGTCTCTTAATTCCCTCCTAGGCACTATGCCTGCAGTTTCAGGAGCTGCCATTTGATATTCGGGACTGATCCTTGGGCTTTCTGACGCCAAATTCAGGGTTATTCCAGTGTCCTACATTGCCTCCAAGAGTCAAGGAGGTCAGGGTTTCTATTCTCTGATGAAGAGCCAAGCTTCCTATGAATATGAGAAGCTGAGGAATGGATTATAGCACACAATTCACAGTACCTAATGCATTTTTATTTTTTAAGAACTTTACTAAAGCATAAAATGTAATCTCATTAGAGTATATCCATTTGGGGTTCTCCACACAAAGCAAGGGAGATTCATCAGGAACTGCCCGCCCCTCCCCCACCCCACCCCCTTGGTCAGGTCATACATGGCAACCACTACTCTCCTGACTTTACAAGGTGATTGAAAGTGCCAGCTACTCAGGCAACAGCCTCTGGAATAGCAAAGACCCCCAGAAAAAAAGCAGTCTTCTACAACTAACCAGATACTACGTCACCATCCTGTGGGCTCTGGAATGCCTTCAAGCAAAATTTTAAAATATTTTGGCCAGATTTCCGAGTTCTTTGCTGGAGGGTTGGTTTAGATTACTTAGTCCTCCATTCTGATCAGTAGACTATCCTTTGTGGATGCTGTGGCCCAGCTTCCCAATCAATCCCTTCTAATCCCTGAATGTGAATTGAGGTGAAACCAAATTACTAATGCGTCCAGGTACCTAGCAAATGTATATTCTCTCTGGAGGAAGTGAACTGTTATGGACTGAATGTGTTCCCCCAAAATTAATGTAATGATCCCTAACTTCCAATGTGATGGTATTAGGAGGAGGGGCCTTTGGGAGGTCATTAGGTTTAGGTGCTCATGATGATGGAGCCACCATGATGGGATTAGTGCCCTTATAAAAAGAGACATGAGAGTGATCTCTCGTCCTCTCCACCATGTGAAGACCTAGCAAGAAGACCACCATCGATGAACCAGGAAGAAAACTTACAGTGTTACGATCAGAAACATCCATGGGGTACCCATATAAATCCTATATTTCTGATTGTAACACTAAAAAAAATCCCATTTAATATTAGACTTTGATAGGTCAAGAATGCATGTTGTAAAAAATACTAGTAAAAGAGTATGTAACTTTGAAGCTAACTGGAGAGGATGGAATAACCAATTCGGTGGCAGGTTGAAGATAAGGGGATAAGAAAGAGAAGAAAAACAGAACCAGTGGGACAAATAGAAAACAAGTTGCAAGATATATGTGATAAATCCATTATTACATTAAATGTAAACGAGTTAATGCTCCATTGTTGACAAAGATTGTCAGACTAGCTTTAAAAACAACAATCATGGGATGCCTGGGTGGCTCAGTCGTTTAATCGTCTGCCTTTGGCTCAGGTCATGATCCCAGGATCCTGGGATCGAGTCCTGAATCAGGATCCTTGCTCAGCAGGGAGCCTGCTTCTCCCTCTACCTGCCGCTCCCCCCCCTGCTTGTGGGCTCACTCGCCCTCTCTGACAAGTTCTTTAAAAAACCCACGTACACAACAATCAGAGGCACCTGGCTGGCTCAGTTGGTAGAGCATGCAACTCTTGATCTAAGGGTCTTGAGTTCAAGCCCCATGTGTGGCATCAAGTTTACTTAAAATAAGAAATTTTTTTAATGAATTAAAAAAATAAAAATCCTATGCCATTTACAAGAGATACTTTTTGAAACATGAATTTAGAAATTTCAAAAGGATGAAGAAATATATACCCAGCAAACAGTAAGCATAGGAAACTGGTGTAGATATATTAATATTAAACTTTAAGGCAAAAAAAAAAAAGCATTATTAGAAATAAAAAGGGTCTGTTCAATTATCAGAAAGCGATAATTCTAAATTTTTATGCACTAGTGATATAATCTCAAAATACATCAAAGTTGATAGAAGTAGGAAATTTAGGCAAATATGCAGTGATATAGTAAGATCTTAACACACCTATTTCAGTAACTGATTTAAAAAGGTATATAAAACTCAAGTTATACAAAATTTAAGCAACACAATTAACAAACTTGGCCAAATGGATACACGTAGAACACTACACTCAACAACACACTTTTCAAACGCAAGTGGCACATATGCCAAAATTTGTATGTTGAGCTATAAAACAAGTCTCAACAAACTTCAAAAGAATTAATTCAAATGAAATATGTTCTCCAAACACAATGCAATTAAGCTGGAAATCAATTACAAAAAGACAATTTGATGATCCTCATATATTTGGAAGTCGAACAGATTTTAAATAACCCATTTGTCAAGGAAGAAATCATAATGGAAACTTGAAATATTTTGAACTGAATAATAAGAATACCACATATCAAAACCTATGGAGGAAAAAAGCTTGTGAATTGCAACTAAAACTCTGCTTATACTTAAAATGCATATGTTAGAAAAGAAGAAAGGCTGAAAATCAAGCAACCACCTCAAAATTTAAAAAAACAACGTGAATGAAACCCAAAACAATAGCCAAAATATAGAACACAAATATACAATAAGGGGAATAAAAGAAATCAAGAAAAATTTTAAAATGCTCTCTAAAAGGACTAAGAAGGGGTGCCTGGGTGGCTCAGTCGGTTAAGCGTCTGCCTTCGGCTCAGGTCATGATCTCAGGGTCCTGGGATGGAGCCCCACATTGGGCTCCCTGCTCAGGGTAAGTCTGCTTCTCCCTCTCCCTCTGTCTCCCTCCCCCCCCCCATGTGCTCTCACACTCTCTCTCTCTCTCAAGTAAATATAATATTTTAAAATAAAAGGACTGAGAAGTTTGACAACTCTGTAATAAGACCAGTCAAGAAGGAAGGAGAAAGGGTGGGAGAAAGGGGGAACAGAGAAATAGCCAGTATCAGAAGTGAAGATGAGCAAATTACTTCAAATCAGACATTAAAAATATTTAAGAGGACATTATGAATACTACTAAATTTTAAATTTAGATGGAACAATCTTTTTTTTAAAAGTTTCTACACCCAGAGTGGGGTTCAAACCCACAACCCTGAGATCAAGAGTCCCCTGCTCCACCAACTGAGCAGCCAGGCGCCCCATAGATGGAACAATCCTGACTGTAGAGATGCTTCAGGAGTATATACATATGTCAAAACTAATCAAATTGTACACTTTACCCATATGCAGTTTTCGTATGTCAGTTATGCCTCAATAAAGCCGTTTTTAAACTTTGGATAAAATGAACAAATTTTTTTTTATAGTGGTTTTCTTGAAATCTTGAAAATTGGGATCATCCTACATTTATTGCCTAAGTTGAATCCATAATTTAAATCTCACAAGGCAATTTACGGGCCCAGATAGCATCGCCAGTGAATTCAGCCAACATCTTAGAGAAAAATAATGCCAATCTTACACAGACTCTTCTAGATAATAGAAAACCTCCAAATTCATCTTAAGAGACTAGTATATCCTTATATATAAAACATTTGACAAGAACAGTATAGGAAATGAAAATTGCATGCCAGTTTCTCTCATCATTATAGATGTAAAAGATCTAAACAAAATGTTAGCAAACAAAAACCAGGAAGTTATAAAAAGCAATATGTAAAAATACATCATGATTAAATTGGATTATCACTCAAAAATTAGAGTCCTTCACATTAACAGAATAAAGGCGGAGAAGTAAATGATAATAGATGCAAAAAAACTTTTTATAAAATTTATAAAATTCAGCAGTCATTGGATGATATAAATGTTTAGCAAACTAGAAAAACAAGGAAATGTCATTCTGATAAAGATAGTCACAAAAAACCTAGAGTGAGTGCATCCTACTTAAAATATCAGTAACTTCCCTCCTAAGATTGGGAGCAAGAAAAAGATGTCCAAGAACACACCTATTCAAAGCAGTACTAGGTAGCGGCGCTTGGGTGGCTCAGTCGGTTGAGTGTCGGAGTCTTGGTTTCAGCTCAGGTCATGATCTCAGGGTCCTGAGATGGAGCCCTGTGCCATGCTCAGCAAGGAGTCAGCTTGAAGTTCTCTCCCCCCGACCCCCGGCCCCTCCATCCACTCGAGCTCATGTGCTCTCTTTCTCTAAAATAAATAAATCTAAAAAAAACCCAAAAAACAGTACTAGGTAATGATATGTACTCCATAGCATTTAGGGGAGAAGTACTGATGCCTGCAACTACTTTGAAATGCATCACAAAAAGAAAAAAAAGGATGGGATTGATGGATGGATAGAAGGATG